ATATCAGCAACTTCTCATCCTCAAAATATATTTGATTACAAACAGTAGATGCATTGCATCAGAGACAGGGACAGGTGTGCTTTGGCTGTTGGGCCCCTGTTAAGGTTTTTTCCTACAATGGTAGTGAGTGTTTTTAATTGATGTCTCTATCATTAGACCAAAAAAGTCATGGTCTTTCAAGTCTTCATCAAAGCCTAGAAATGCACTTGTGAGATGAATATCACTAATTTATCTCTTCTTATAAAGTTGATTAATAAGTTTTAAAAGAATGTATCTAGTTATTTTTAGTGAGAGGGGAAGGAAAGGAGAAGGAGAGGGAGAGAAACATCAGTATGTGGCTGCCTGTCATGTAGCCCCTACTGGAGACCTGGCTGGAAACCCATACTTGTTACCTGACTTGGAGTTGAACAGGTGACCCTGTGGTTTGCAGTCCAGCACTCAATCTACTGAGATATTCCAGCCACGGCTTCTATTTTCCTTTTTAAAATGAAAAGACTTCTCTACAAGAGTTTCCCAGTGGACCTTATTTGGTGAATCTGTGGCTTCACTCCCAGGAACCCGTAGGTGTATTCACTGGAGGAGGTCAGAATAGCCATGATCTTGTGTTCCAACAGTTCAACTAGATTTTTTTGCAAACCCATCAGAGTCTTAGAGAAAAATCTTTGAAAATTTAAGGTAGATTTTATATATTCTTTTATTTTAGAAATATATATATATATGATCCCTCATTCTGATTAAAAGTGTTTTTTTCTTTTTTCCTGAAAGATATTGCTAGAAATCCTGGATTATTTTTTCTAAATTTGTTATCATTTAATCAAAGTTTATTAGGGAATGGTAGTGAAGAAGATACAAATGAGATTTAAGGTGAAAGGTTAAAGATGAAAGAAAAAGGGCAATTCCAGACAAAATAATAACATAAAAGAACAAGGAGTTAGTGAAGGAACTTTAAAAGAGGAGGAATGAGATGCTGGTATTTATTAGCTACAAATGCCTTCTTTAGCTCAGAAATAGTTCCTAGAAGTTTTTATTATTCTTTGTAAAGAGAGGATTTATCTGTGCTCCTCCTAGAAGCTTCTACTTCCAATAGATATTCTTGTCATTTATTCAGTTTAATTTTAGAACTGTCTTTTAACATATTTTGCATGTTAAAATTAATTAGATGTCATAGGATTTCTTGGCCATCATAAATTGATACCTTGGCCATCATAAATTGATACCTGTTGTATTAAAATCTTTACACTGGTGTAAGTACTTGCAAGTAAAGTCTATTTATTGTCTATCAGCCAGAGTAGTAGTGAGGATGGGGATGAAAGACTTTAGCCTTGGAGGCTTGGTTTCTGACATCCATTTTCCTATTTTTATTATCTTTGAAATCTGAGTGATTTCTCCACTACCACCATTCTGTTTGGGGGTTGTTGGTTACTAAAGTCCAGAGGTCTTCCTGCTTGTAGACAACCCAAAGTTCTGCATTCAGTTATGGAATTGTGTTGGTGAAGTTAACTTAAGAGTAGAAAACAGAACTGTCCATCTTATATTTAGCAGGCTGCATCCTGCTCTTATTGGGAATATATCTCTTGCAGCCAGTTTTCCTGAGAAGATTTCACCATTTTACTCACGGCTGCCAGGTTGTTTTCCTTTTAACTTTTATTCTTTTTAAAAGTTTGTACAGATGTATATTTATTCATTTATTCATTTATTTACTTATTTATTTATTGAAAGGAAAAGCAAGGAGAAAGGGAGAGAGACGGACTCTGATGTGAAAGAGAAACATTGATGGGTTGCATCCTGTGTGGACCCTGACAGGAGACCAAACCTGCAACACAGCCATGTGCCCTGACCTCTAATCAACCCAAGAAAAGGTTTTACTCTGTGGGACAATGCTTGAAACCTGAGCCACACCAGTCTGGTTTCCATTTATTCTTCAACAGATCATCACAGCCAGATGTGAGAGTATTTTCTTCTCTCACCTTTCCATTTCTCTAGCTAATCTAATAATCAAATCAATAGAGGCAGATTAACAGGAGACAATTTACAAAGTCTATTATACTAAAGAATATTCTGAAGTGAAAAACAGAGAGACCCATGGAAGTATTGGATAGTTAAGGCTTAAATGAATTCTGAATATAAAGAACAAAAAGCATTGTGGATTGAGATTTCAAAATGTGAGTAATTAGCATGGAGATTCCATAGCAAATGAATGGCAAATAAATATTTGCTTGGCATTTCCATGACAATGTTGCTCCTTGAGCTGGTGCTCCATGTAAACACTTCCTAGGCAGTTAAGAGGGAAGTTCAAGTTTATTGTTTTTGTTTTTCCTGAGCCTTCTGTTTCCCAATGACAAGATCAGAATCAATACCCTAAAAGGCACATCTTGGGTAGCAACTGTGCCTCCCTCCACAGCAGAGACAGGACTCTCAAGCTGGTTTAACAAATCTCACTGAAAGCTCAGTTCTAGTACATGTGGTCATTAGTTAAAGTCATTGAGTACCTAATTTATGACCAAACATCTTTCTGATGACTAGTGATGCTGATCATCCTTTCACATGTTTCTGGGACCCTCTGTATGTCCTCCTTGAAGAAGTGTCTGTTCAGGTCCTTTGTCCACTTGTTAACTGGGTTGTTTGTCTTCTTGGAGTGGAGTCCTGTGAGCTCTTTATGTATTCTGGAGAAAAAAACCTGTCTGAGATGTCACTGACAAATATGTTTTCCCATACAGTTAGTTCCCTTTTCATTTTGCTGACATTTCCTTTAGCCGTGCAGAAGCTTTTTATTCCTTTTGTTTATTCTTTCTTTTATGTTCCCTGCTCTAGGGGACATATTGGTGAAAATATTGCTGCATGGGATACACGAGATTTTCCTGTCTTTGTTCTCCCCTAGGACTTTTATGGTATCACATATACTGAAGTCTTGTATCCATCTTCAGTTTATTCAAAGCACTGTGTTACATTTACACAATGTAATACTACCCAGCAGAAAGAAAGGAAGGAGCTTCTACCCTTCATCACAGCATGGATGGAATGCTAAGTGAAATCAACCAGGCCATGAAAGACAAACACCATATGATCTCACCTATGAGTGGCACCTAATGAACAAAACAGACATGCAAGCAAAATATAACCAGAGACTTTGAAATAAAGAGTGAACTGACAGTAACCAGTGAGGTGGGTCCAGAGAGGTCATCTGGGAGCAGAGGGCAGGAAGATGGGAAATGGTCTTCAAGGAACATAAATAAAAACCCATGGAAAAAGCCAAAGAGGGTAGGATTGAGGGTGGGAAGAGGGGGTAGGTGTGGTGGGGGAAAGTGGTGGTGGCAAACTGCAGACAACTGTATATGAAGAACAATAAAAAATGATTAAAAAATAAATTATTATCAAACCAGTTAAAATATTGACATTGCTTTGTCAATATAAGTGTATCCACTTTTGACTTGTTATTACAGAAAATTTAGAAGATACATTTGAATCTGGTAATAAAATGTTTCCTTCTGACACAGGGACGAGAACTAAGGGGGGTGGAAATGGAAGGGAGGTGGGGAGCAAGGGGCGGGGGAGGCTGGGATGGGAGAAATAGAGAAAAAACTGTACTTGAAAAATAACTAAATAAAATAAAAAAATATTGTTTGAACAACTTTCTGGTAGTGTGCTGCTGCTCTCTGTTTAAGGATTAATTAAAACATGTTCCAGTAAAAAAAAAAGAAATACTCTCTGAATTATAACACGAGCAAGATAATGTAAGGAGACTCGTGTGTATTCCAAATGCCAAAAAAATCTGTAATTACAAATTGCAATTACATTTCTAAAGAGAATTTTCTAAAATATGCAGGTTGGAGGCCTGCAATCAGGAAGAACCTGTCTGAAGGTTAGCAACTCTGAGAGAACATTAAAGCCTCTGGGTCATAACCAAACTGCTTTCTGCCCAGTGAGGGGAAACACAGCTAAATCTCCTGCAGCCAAGACATAATTTGCATCTGCATCAGTTCCTGCAATTTAGAAAGAGGTGAAAACCAACTGAGACTCCCTGAACAGAGCCAGACCTGATCTCCCAGAAGGCTATGCTTCTGGAGAATTCCATTCAGACATTATATTTATATCTACAGTCACTTTCCCATTCATCAAAATTAATCACTAAGGGAGAAGTGTGCTCTTGACTCTACAACATGGCTGGTATCACATGATTGGGCTGATTAATTAGTTACCTAAGTGCAGAGGAGCTGACATTCACCACATAGTTTGATGAGAGTTTTCCATGACAAATATGATGGGGGTTTTAACAGCCTCTTGATGTTAGGAAGCTTTTCCCAAACACTTCACCTCCAGTTTCACTTGCTTTGGGTGATGTCTTTTCTGCAAGATGTACCAAAAGTCTGAAGATGTCAAGCTTAGCTCTACAAAGTATGAGGTCATTTCAAATTCCATGGGCATCAGACTGAACTAGAACATTTGAACTAAAGCCTTGGTTTTATTACCAAAATATCCAATTATACCTTATTAAAAAGAACACAGATGTACTGAAGTCATGCCAATAATTTTGTTGGCGTAGAAGGAAGAATACTCAAGAGACTTTAGAAATATTTTGGAAAACAGCAAAGAGAGACACACAATCAGTGTTGCTACTCACATCGTTGTCTTTCTGTCCATTTCCATTGTCCACAACAGGTGCCCTCCACATGTGTTCATGGACGAGACCCAGAGCTCAGAATCCCTAAGCTCTTTATCTTCTCTCATTTGTTAGCACAGAACTACTGCTCATCTTCTGAGGGACACAGTGTCACAATGACCCCTCCACTGTGGACATGGTACACATGAAACCAAACCAAAGTGGGGGTTGGTCTGAGGGGTGACCTTCAGTCAATGATAATGACAATGTTGGCTCACATTTTTCTAGTGTTTATTGACTCAATGCAAATCTTTAAGAACTATTCACTCTCAGAACGAATCAATTATGATATTTCAAAAACTACTTTATTTAGAATTTAACAACATAGAGGGGGAAAGGAGAATCACTGATATTTCACATCCAGCTTGAGCTTATTACTTTTCCCAGAACTCCTGAGGTTGAAGCCTTTACACCAGTAGTCACCATCATCCTCTCTTTGGACAGGGTCTATGGTGAGGTTTCTGTGGTCAAGTGACAGCTTCATTCTCTTCGTGAGCTGCAAATTTGTGCCATTGAACAACCACTGGATGCCAGGAGTGTCTGTGTAGCAGGTGAAGACCACAACATCCTGATTCTCTGTGACTGTGGTGTTGCTGGCTGTGAGGGTTGGTGCACTCAGGAGTGCTGTGGAGAAACAGAGAAAGGGACTCATTGAGAATGGGCTTCAGATATGCAGCCACATGGCTTCCGCAGAGATCGCATCCACTCACAGCCCACAGTGACTTATGTAAAGGTCACCAGCATGTGTTCCAGGCATTTGGAGGACAATTGTCTAAGTTCAGGTGAAAATAATAAGGAAAGAGCTGCAACTCCTCTCTGTCCTCATATAACCTCAGTCAAAATATAGCCAGAGACACTGAAATAAAGAACAAACTGACAGTAAGCAGAGGGAAGACAGAAGGAAAGACAGGGGAAAGAAGGGGGAAAGGGACACTTAACATTGAAAATTGTTATAAAAATTATCACAAGAAGGTTTACGACATTAAATTTGGCAATGAGCCCTGGCTGGTATAGCTCAGTGGATTGAGCGTGGGCCTGCGAACCAGACAATCGCGGTTCGATTCCCAGTCAGGGCACATGCCTGGGTTGCAGACCAGTTCCCTGCAGGCCAGTTCCCAGCAGGGGACGCACGAAAGGCAACCGTACATTGATGTTTCTCTCCCTCTCTCCTTCCCTTCCCCTCTAAAGATAAATAAATAAAATATTAAAAAAATAAATTTGGCAATGATTTTATGATATTGACAGTAAGAAGACTGGCAAAAAATAGACAATTCAGATATTCTAAAAATGAAAATGTCTCTTCTTCAAAAAAGACATAACACATTGAAAGGTGACCAAAGAAATATGAGAAAATATTTTGCAAATCATATGATTTGCATATGATTTAAAATAAAAGGTTAAAATCTAGAATATACAAAAATCATCTACAACTCAACCACCACAAAACTAAATAATCTTGTTTAAAAATGGAACACAACACTTGAACAGGCATTTCTTCAGAGAATATATACAAGTGGCACATAGTTACAGAAGATGCTCAACAACACTATTATGTACAAAAATGAAAATCAAAACTCTCAAGGTTGAATTTGTTGCTTGTGATGTTGGTTATGGTTAACTTTCATCTGCAGGAAAGAGAAAAAGAAATGCCCTGCGTGATACCTTTGATATTTCCAAAAGCGTCTTCAAGCACAGGTGGTACCTCTCACCTCTCAGTCAACTTGAGTCTTAGAACTAACAAGGCAGGTCAGCATATCACAAGAACATGTTTGGGAATCAGAGCACTCAGAGGATGCGTGTCCTCCAGCTATATGTCTGGGAGAAACTGCAGATTTTCTCAGGTGTCAGTTCAGTATCAGTGTTGGTTAAGGAAGCACATAAGACAGGGATTCAGAAAGAACACTGCAATTCTCCTGCTTCTTCACTGACCACCTGAATGCTTGTCTGACCAGAAGCCATTTCTTCCAGCTGCACAGACATCTATTGCCCAGCTGAGGTGTGTTTCTATGAAGCACTATTCCCCAGGACATCCTAGACACTGGGTGGGGTTTGAGGAGAAATAACGCATAGAGAACAGAAGCGAGCCAGTGATAAGTTGACTACTCAGGCCCTGGGCTAAGAGGTAGATCAGGTCTTTCAAGGTGAATGTGACTGAAATGAGCAAGTGAGCCAATGAATGACAGAGGAGGGTCCAAGAAATGATTTAGCAAAGAGGAAAAGGGACAGGCAGAAGCTGATAATGGCAGCAGAATCATGTGCTCTACCCTTGACCATGAAAGCCATTCTCTTTCCCCTGAGGGCAGGTGAGGACTTGTGCAAATGCAAAATCAGTGTCTTAGAGCAAGTGGGCAGCATGCACTTGCTGAAATTCTGGCACTTGTGGGCAATCTGTGTTAAGTGGCTATGAGATAGAAATTGGAAAAATCACTGAAAATTCTTCTGTATGTGAGAATTATTATTATTACCCCAGGGCCTAAGACCAAAAGCAAGTTGTATTTTACTAGAGAAAAGGAAAGGATTTGAGATGATGGTCTAGGTCTTGGGACCACAAAAGCTTTTTCCCTATTGTGAGGATTCCAAGGACTCTATATCCAAGTACCAGGTTCTGAATAGATTTTGGGTCATTCATTCAATCACCATTTTTTCTTCTTAATTCATCAGGAGCAACTGAGTGGACCTTAATTCATCAAGAGCAAATGTTCATCCTGAGCTGGTTTCAGGGGTAGAGTGGAGAATAAGAAAGAAAATCCTTTTATTTACATGTGCTGGGAGAGACTGCACCAGAACAGGAAACAAGTAAGTAATGTGAAGTCCAGTGCAGGAAGGTGTGGATGGGCCACCTGGGGGGGGGATGCCTGGGTAATCTATGCAGTGACTCTGAATGTTACTGAAGATAAGGTTTTCCTAGAGTAAAAATAGATTGCCTCCATTTTTTTCCCCTGCACAAACCAAAATGTATTCCTCTGACTGAAGACAACTGAGAGAAAATACTCCGAACCACTTTTTTTGGTTTAGGAATTTGAAGAGTCCCTCACAGTTTCCAGAGGTAGACAAATAAAGTCTGTGGCTACAGACAGATTTCTAGTGACCTTGATCATCTGCTCACTGTCTGTGTTACTCTCCTTTAGTGACTGTATCTCCCTTTTTCTCAGTTTCCTCTCAGTGAATATTTGGCTGCCAGGGTGTCAGTGTAAAGACTGTAAAATATTTAGAGGATCAGCACTAAATCTTGAAATACAAGAGCTGCTCAAAAGAGGCATCTGTTATTATAGATGCCCAGAGAGAACCCGTGGCTCATCCTTGAAAGAGATGAGGAGGTGAAAGAGGAACTTCCAGGAGCATCTCTTTTTCTCAATTTCTTTTTAGGCAAGCTGACCTTTCTCTGAACTTTCCCAAGACCCCTCAAGATAGCCAGCTATCTATAAGGACATTGTCTAACTTGTCTCTTCACACAAAACGCAGGTGATGAGAGACCAAACTTTATTTCTGGTGAGATGCAGCTCTTGATCAAGAGCCCTGATTGGTGATTGCCTCAGCAGCCTTGTGACTTGGGAACCCATTAAACTGTTACACACTCAGTACTTCTGAGGAGGCCAAACCCAACCTAGCACAGGCTCACCAGGGTCCTTGGAGTAAAGATCCCTGGGAGAGAGTACTAGGAAGGGGTTCCTGAACTGAGCTGTGTAAGTATTTCAGGGGGCCTCTCAGACTGTGCTCTGATCTAGTACAGCAGAGTCATTCTCAAGGTGAAGTGAATAGGCAGGTGCTCAGGAGGCTGAAATTAGTCTGATCTCCCTCTGCTGACTTAGTTCCATCAAACTGCTCCTTCTGTCTACATTGATAGTCTGCAAGGCTGAAATTTGAGAAGGGAACTGAGGTCTTAGAAATTTTGTCTGCATTCTCTGTGTATCCTGCCTGAAGTGGTAATATCTACCCTGAATCCAAATGCCAAGGAGAATGGAGGTAGTGTCCAGGGTATATCGGTCCTGTGTGTGAAGTGGAATTGACCCCACCCGACACCTAGAGGTCAGAGAACAATCACTCACGGTATACAGTAAGCCGTCCACATGCTATCATTTTTTGGCAGCCTTGTAGTTGGACCAGTACAGTGTAGATTCCTGCATCTTTCATGGTGACATTCTTTAATACCAAGGACCCATTATAGTTTACTATCACTTGTCCACCTGGAGGACCTCTTACATGGATTGTTTGGTCTTCTATAAGATATGCAATAATATGATTGCTGTCAGTGGTATCTCCCCTGTACCACAGAAAGCCTGCTGTATTGGGAGCCGTATGGTGGATACGTAGAGTCACATCCGTCCCTTCGAGAGCATTGGTCGACTCAACTGTCACTTGGGCTGTGGTGGGCTGGCTCCAGAAGTTTAAAAGTGAGACTAGAAGGTAAGAAAAAAATGCATCATTATTGGTATCTACCTTTGGGATTATGAGGCCCTGAATCCTGAGCAGGTCTCTTTATGTCTCAGCCTTGGTCTGCAGGTGAGTATGTCTCTATCAGGTCAAGGTCAGAGACACGGCCCCCTTTACTTCAGCACCTCTGAAGCTTTTATTTTTTGGTTTCCCATACTCTTCTCCAGCTGTTTTTCTTGCTGACTCCTACACTGTGGCCAGATGCCACCTGATAATCAAATGCATTTTTGAAAGGCACCTTTGCTGATCATCTTATCTAAAGATTCTCTGCCTTCACTTTCTGACCTGCCCCTACTCTCTTTTTTCATGGCTGTTGTGGGTACCTGAAATCACATCTAGATCCTTTCTTGTCTCTCTCTCCTCCATAGAGCAACTGGATCAATGAGTACCAGGCTGGTCTCATCTTGTACCTCCAGTGACTGCAACAGCCTGGAAATACATGGGGTTGAGTGAATGCGTGATCCCAGTGTCCTGTACATCCTGGGATTTACTGGCCCGCCTTGGAAGTTGGTGATAAAGACAATGTCTAACACTCCCATTTAAATTTTTAGGGTGCTTCCTGATAAATCAGTATATCAGCATAACAAATAACAGGAAATACACAGCAAATGTGGGCTTTCTGCCTCTCACCACTTCCGGATTATGATATTTTTCCTCTTGCTGAGCCCCTGTCCTAATCCTTCTCTTTCCTTCTGTCCTTCACACTCAGGTCCAATCAGAAAGCCTTCCCTTTTTTCTCAGAGCATTGGTCTCTTCAGCAGATCCCAGCCAGTCTCTGTCTCAGATCCTTTGTCTACCCCAAGGAATTGTCTCCTACTTACCAACCAGCAGGAGCCCTTGCCAGTGGACAAGTCCTCTGTGGGTAGAGACTGAAGGGGATCCCATGGTGTCTGATGTCTGCTCTGTGGCTGCCTCTTTGAGAGAAGCTTGAGGTTCTGTAAGGCTCACAGGAATATCTGTCCAGAAGGCTGCGATGTGCTGTGTGTCCTACCTGTGTGCTGAGCTTTATTCTGGGGCATGTTTACTATTCATGTCATGTGGGCGGGGTCTGGGCACATTACCCTTCCTCTTCCAGTCCTCATTTTGCCACCCTTGTACCTTGTAACTAGTACTGCTCCTTTAAACTTTTGTTCCCTGAGAACTTCTAAGGCCTCTCAACACCACACATTCACAAACACAAACTCCCATGCTGTGCTATGGAAAGCAAAAGCCTGGGGTGTCTGAGTTTCGGGAATTCCCCACAGCCCTTGTTAGTTGTACAGTAGCCTCTGCCTCAGCCCTCTCTCTTTCACATTTGACTTCCCTTCACAGCAGGAGTTCTAAAGCTAACTCTGAAAAAGCTGTCAAAATGATGTCTCCCCTCTTGTGCATCAGATCCCCTGTGAAACATTTTAAACATCTCTATTCCCAGGTAAAATCTTCAAAATGCAGCTTCCGCAGCTGTCCAGGTAATGTGGGTGCCCATTCAAATTGTGATCACTTGATGTGAAGGTAGAACCACATGTCCTGCTCTTCTGCGCACAGGGGATGTCTCCAGATCCTGTTATACTACAGACTCTGTGGTGCAGTGGGTGAGAGACTCTGCATCTGACAAGCTCTCAGGAGAGGTTGATCCATCTGGCCTGTAGGGTAGACTTGCAATAGCAATGCTAATGGGGGCACATGTGTCCCTGAGAGCATGACACAGTAAGTCCAGCACTGACCACTGCTGTGACTTGGTCTTGGGACTGTCATCACCACTCAGAGAGCCACAGGTGTCCTTAAAAACCTGGATTATTTCTGTTTATGACACAGAAACCCAGCTGGGCACTTGCTCCTCTCAATGCTCTGAGGTGTTTTTTCCTCTCAGCATGAATCTCACAGAGATGACTCTGGGTGTGAGCAGGTGTCAAGGCTGGTGATAATTGCAGAGGGGACCCTTCTTCAATCTCAGGTTCTCACCAGACTGGCTTTTGCTTCCCAGGACAAACACACAAAACCAGGAGTCTCAGGAAGACCTGCAGTTTTGGGGTGTGAAGTGGGAAGTGTCCTGCATGTCCCAGGAAGAAAAGACTGTGAGGAAAGTTGGGTGCCTACAGGCTTTCTGTTTTTCAGGGGACGGCTTCATGTAGACCACCCCTCTCCTTGTGTGTTTGTTGGACCTGTCCCTGTGCTTCCTGGCTGTTGAGAAAACCTCTGATTTCTACTTGGGCAGCTTTCTTGTGGTCACATCACTTTCCATGGATGATGCCATTCATGAGGTATAGACCAGAACAGAACCCCATGAGGGAGGAGGTGTTTCAAGGCCCTGTCAAAGTAAAATAATGAAAACCTATAGATCAATTTAATTAGTTTATCTGAGCCTAACTGACCTCGTTTGTCTGGGAGTGAGGTCTCAACTCCTGTGAAAGCAGTTTTGTATCTAATTTTATACATTCTAATAAAACTGGAAGGTGAACAAAGATGCATAAACCCTAATAGGAGGTGAGAACAAACAGCAGGAAAATCTCTAGATTTTGGTTAAAGGCAAAATGGAGAAATATATATTTTTATGTTGGTGGGTACAGGGTATTTCACATTTACAGAACATAGAGAAAGTATTCAGGGGATCAGATAACATAAAGAGTCTGTGTTTTTATACACTTGTCCCAGACTCTGCTTTTGAATGGCCCAGAAAAGAAAATCCCTCTGATGTGTCAAAGTTATGTTATCCAAGAGGAAAAGAAAAAAAAAAACAGATGTCAGGGCTCACTGAAGGTAAAGACTGACCTTTGCTAAAGAAAATGAACATCTAGGATGTGGCAACCTGCCATCACCTGCCCAGTTAGAAATTTCTGATCAAAATATTCTGTGAGGATGGTCAGGCCTGCCATGAGTCCCTCTGAGCCAGTCAGTGTTGCTGCACAGCCCCATTCTCTCAACTGTCTCTAGAGGTAGCAGGTGGAATAAAGCAGGCAGGAGGGAGGGCCCAAGAAAGGCCTGTTGATGCTGGGGATAAAAATTAGGCTACTTCTCCATCTTCTACACTTATTTTATTTTTTAAAATTTTTATTTAGTTATTTTTCAAGTACATTTTTTGTCTATTTCTCCCATCCCAGCCCCCCCGTCCCGTCTCCCTACCTCCCTCCCATTCCGCCCCCCAGTCCTCATCCCTGTGTCTTTCATACTTGTTCCTCAAAAATCCCTCCCCATTTTTCCCCTTAAATTTCCTTCCCTCTCCCCTCTGGTCGCTGCCCACTTGTTCTCTATTTCAGTGTCTTTGTTTTTATTCTGTTTGCTTGTTTGTTTTATTCTTTAGCTTCCTGTCAAAGGTGAGATCATATGGTATTTGTCCTTCAATGCCTGGTCTATTTCACTCAGCATAATGCTTTCCAGTTCCATTCATGTTGTTGCAAAGGGTAGTAGCTCCTTTCTCCATCTTCTTAGCCAAAGCCAGTTTCCTGTGTCTACTTCATGTGTGTCTCAGTGTTGATCCCTAGAGGACAGAGGTAGAAATACAGGCAATGTCAGGTGCACAAGAATGTTGTCTAATGTAGGATGAGCTCAGTGAAAAGGCAGGCATTGTCCCCAATATTATGAGTCCAGTGTCAGGAGAACTTTCCCACCAGGGGGATATACTGTTTTATGAGAGCTCTGTGCTTTCAAGTGTTCAAAGGAAGGGTCTGGCGAAGATTCTTCTGAGGCTTTTGGAGGAGGTTGCTGGCCTGGAAGGCCGATCCCCAAATGCCCTGAATTTCCACTGTCACTACACTGGGATGTTACATATAAGTCATATCTGTGTCCCTATCTGCACACAGGGCCTAGGAGCAAGAGCATCTCCAGATGGATACTCAACCAGGGTCCCTGTGTGTTCTGTTAGGGGAAGACAGGTTCTTGTAGAAATCTTAGCCCCTCTGAGATGGAAGCAACGACAAATTCTGGGTTCTCCTGTTCCTTTAAGCACAGGAAACTTTCCTTGTTTTCCAGGACATCACGAACTAGAGAGAAGGCTTCAGAAACAACAGGCAGGTGTCCCACACACCATGAGTTCTATGAATAAAAAATCAGTCCTTATTGTTATCAGGTCAGGGTGTGCTCTTAGTTTTCCCGACAGTAAATCTTCCAGGGGTTGAAAATCAAGACTTTATGTCCAGTCAGGTATTTGTAATGTACAAAACACAGTCCTGGGGTGATGAGACATAACTCACAAGGTGGGACTATGTAGGGATGTGATTTTGGGGAGAATAAAGAACAGTCAGACTCCTTAGTGTTATGAGATTCTTCTCCTTCCTCAGGCCTGTATGAGAGAAGACCTGACTTTATGTTGTCCCCAAGCATAGGGAGGCTTCCGTCACAACGTCTTTGTGTCTATAAGAAACATTGTTTGATTACAAGTGTCACCCAGGTTGACAGTCTTCCACTGTGTGATTTACTTTATTGATTTAATGAGAGTTCATGGAACATGTGTGACATCTCAGGCTCTTGGCTGGGCTCTGGAAGCTCCAAAGAGAGTAAGACATATGGGCCCTGGGCTGATTGTATTTGTTGTAACAGAGACAGGGTCTCAGATAAATCATGGCTCCAGGGAGTTACTTATAATTCAGCGGAGGGCTGTGAAGGAGAACTTCAGGTGCATACACAGTATGTACTTGAGTCTCAGCTGGTCTGGAGATCACAGAGAGCACTTGTGAAAAAGTAATTTCTTGGCTGCAACCTGTACAGTTAGTGGCCATTTCCCCCTTGATGAATAGAGGGCATTCAATTATAAAAACTGCCTACAGAGGACTGGTGGTCAATGGGTTGGTGGTTGGTTGGATGGAGGAACAGAGCCAGCCCACTGTGGGCAGTGTGGAGAGCTAGAAAGACTGTGTAATGGTTGATGCTGGTGAGGTTGGGCCTTGCTGGGGTGTGGGTTGTGCTGAATGGGGTCAGCAGTGTCCAAGAAAGACTCTAGCCTGCAGAGTAATTCTGCCACAGCCTGGTGGAAAGGCAGAAAAATGGGCAAGAAAATGTCATGTTATAATCAAGTATTTTTTTTAGTTTAGTACTCTTTATTCAATTTATATTTTAGGTAATATTTCCTATATAATTTTATGTATATTTATTGGATTATGGTTGAGTATAATCAGATTCACATATTGAAAGTGTACACTTTATGAAGTTTTCTCAGATCCATGTGACAGATAAATTGTACCAAGAATATAAAGACCATGTCTCGTACTATGGAAGTCTTCTCATGCCCTGTTTTAATCTTTTCTTTTTCACCTTTTCACCTCCTTTTCAGTGTTAAGGAAAGTCTTAGTGGGTTTTTCACTATAAATTTTTTTGCATTTTCTAGAATTTTCAAAGGTTTTTACCATAAAATATATAATTTTCAGCTGGCATTGGCTTCTTCCCTGAAAACAATTATTTTGACATAGTTCATTCTTTTTATACTCTAGTGATATTTCATTCCAGGGTTGCATTAATTTTGTTTTGTGATTCACCATTTCATGGACATTTGTGTCATTTCCACTTTGGGGCTATTACAAGTAAACCATCCTTGAAGATGTGTGCAGAAAACTCGGTAAGGCAAATAATTAGTAATAATAAAATCAATGGATAAGCAGAGGAATGGAAGGCAGAGAGTTTACCCTAAATGTCTGGTTCTAAGGTCACATGGCCACAACCCCACATGAAGGGACAGAATCACCTACTTCTTCACATGAAGCTGTGTCTGCCACAGCCCATCTATCAGTTAACACAGTAGCAGAAATAATGGCCCCATCTCAATTTCAGCTGCTAATTTATGAACCAGTGCACCTGAGGAACTGCACTTAATTCACATCTGGTTTCACAATCACTAGGAACAGGGGAAAGATAGTGTTTAACTTTTCAATCCCTCTGGAATAAGAGGAAACCTCAGAAAAATGAAGGATATTTGCCAG